TAATTTTGAGCTTAATTGTAATTACAATAAAGTTTTGTACTTGGTTGTAATTATTATGAAAGTTATAAATTTAATTATAATTGTAACTGAAGTTCTAGGACTACACATGTAATTAAATGTAGACTAATTGGATTTAACTTTAATTAAAACTCCTACTTGGATTTTAATAAGAGCTCCTATTTGAATGTGAAATTATTATTGTATAAGGATCGAAACTCTCCTATCCTTATAAATAGAAATTAGATGGAATCTAGATATCCTATGAAATTGTACAATAATCATAATATATAATTTCATGGTGTTCGAATTTGGAGAGAGAAAATTATTTTTCTTGCTTTTTTTTCAATTGTCTAGTTCAAGAATTAGTTTCTCGATTTAATTAAAAGAATGTGCACATCCATTGGTGTAGTTTTGACTTTGAAAAATACTATAGAAAACTTGAAGGTTCGAATCACCAAGTTCTTGCTATTAAAAAGGGCTGGAAGTTTGTGATTCGAATTAATTCAAGAATTGATCATTGAATTAATTAAAAATTCGAATCCTTTAATTTTGGCATAACATACACGTGAACATCTAGACAATCTTACATATTCAATTAAAAGAATTTTTAATTTTTGAATAATTCCGCTTCCGCATTCCAATACTATTCCTCATGCATCTTTAATTCTCCCATCACCCAGTTAGGTAAGTTTCTCCAAAGACCTGCAATTAACTCTAATCTCATTAGAGAACTTTTTAGTGCGCAATAAATTTTGGTCCACTGATGTTTACAAAACAAAACTTTCTGGAGATTAGATTTGTCATGCCAACCAAATTAGCAAATTCTGATATGCCCAGAATGGGTATATCTATGGAATGTTTGTCCGTGGGCAATGGAAGCTTGTACTGCTCATTGAAAATCTTTTCAAAAACCATCTTTATCAAATCCAACATAGTCTTATTTCCCAATTTATACAACATAACTACCCTCTCGTGTAACAGATCAGAGCAGTGGGTAAGTGGATCAAGGTTATTAATGAGGATTTTGAAAAAGGACTTTATACTTTGGCAAGAGTCTAGATGCAGGACAAATTATCAATTTTATCTGGCCAATTCATGCAAGCAAATGCGTCATCTGTCAGTTCCTCGCCACTGGCTTCTACAACTTCATCCATGTGAACCAGTTCCTAAGCACAAATGGACTGAAGGTGATCAATTTCCCCCTAACATAGGTCCTTCACCTAAACAGAACCGCATGTCTTTCCTATACTTTTAGAAATATTTGTAAATAATTCTTTCACAATTGTTTCATTAAGCCCCCGTTTGGCCACCATTTTTTGAAATGAATATGAGTGGAATAGTGTCTTTTTGAAAAATGAGTGATTGTAAAAGAAGGATAAGTTTTCAATTTACATTTAATATTATTTTATAAAAGATTGTGCAATTGAAAATAGAAGAGAGAAAAACGGAATGGAATTTAATGGGGGCTAAGTTTCCTATCCAATGTCAACAACTTCTCCAAGTTGTGAAATTTAACCAACTCATCCAAACCTACTGTAACAAATTCTTCAAGTACCTCGTTGAATTCCTTAATAATTTTTTTGTGGGCAGTAAATGACACAAACAAGGTTTCATTTAATTCAGTGAGGAAATAGTCTTTGAATGGGGTCACATAGTGTCTACCTCTTGTAAATGTATCAAACCTGAAGAATTCTAGATCAGACGTGGGAGTGCTAAGGACTCTATATGCTCAACCTCCTAGAGTGAGAGGTGCTGATTGATTGGCCAATGCAGGGGTTTTTGAGCATTCTCCAACCCTCTGCTTACCCTTTTCTTCACTAGTTGTCTCCTGCTACACGGTGGAGTTGTTTTAGAAGAGTCAAAAGATTCCTCACCAGAGGGACCAAATTGGGAGCTAGAATTTTGGGTCTCAACTTCAACTGGAGCACGCATTTTAGTGGTTTGGTCCCATCAGCGATCCCCTGAAATTTATCTCTCTTCCTCAGTATCATTCCCTTCACTCCTATATAATATTGACAGGTTACATAGTGGACGTTTGGGTTTAAATAATTGTTCCCACATAGACTATTATATATTTCTAATTTATTATTTATAACTTCTATTTGATAAAAATAAATTATAATTTATTCCTAATAGATTATGATTTCTAAATTATACTAACTAACTTAATATATTGTAATGCACGCAAAAATCAAAATAGGTTTTTGATAATGAAGGAGATATTAGAGCACACAATTTCATTAACCAATCAACGTTAATTCTCTAATAAAGATTCTAAACTAAATGTCGAGTTCGGTCAAATTTTTCTAACGTATTTAATTTACCTCTCTCGAGTTTAAATTTATTATATTTAACTAAGCCAATTTTATATCTCTATGTGAATTATGATATACCTTAGTTGAACGTATTAAATTTTTAAAAATTCATGTAACGACTACATTAACTAAAAAATGTATTTCTACGTTTATACCTGTTCACGATTTTACTATGTGGTTTAAACCTATAACTCACTTCTCAATTCGTTATAAATTCACACGATTATTAAATTATTGGTCAAGTAATTCAAGTTTTAAACATTATAAAACAAATCAACACATGAAATTGAGAACTAGAATCTAGAAAATTGAATTAAAAATGTCTCAATAAACTACATTGTCCGTTCTAACAAAAAGTTCAGCTCACATATTGAATAGAAAAAATAAAAAATAAAAATCAAAGAATAGTTAGTGAATACATCATTGAGTTATGAAGGAAGATGTAGAAAAGTGGATAAATTTTACACCAAGATCCTCTTCTTGCCCAAATAATTACTTCAAACCCTAGTCTTTATAACTTGATTTCTTGCTTTTCTTCAATGTGTTTTACTCTAAAGGCCTGTTTGATTGGTCTATTTTCCATGGAAAATGGAAATTCCATTTTCCACCCAAAATTGTTGTTTTATTGCTAAAAATTTCTGTGGAATTTGTTTTCCAACTTTCCTCCACAAGTGCCATTTCCATGGTTTTGTGGAAAATCAATTCTCACAATTTTGGTGAGAATTACTTTTCCAGCCTATTTTTTGGGCAATTGGAACAAATTTTTATCTCCAATTGTAACAAATTTTGTCTCTTTAATTGACAATTTTCATGAAAAGATAAAGCCAAACGAACACCAAAAAATAGAAAATTTCAACAATTTTCAGGTGAAAAATTATACCAATCATACACATTAATTGACAATTCTCAGGAAAATAAGTTCTAGGCAATTCAATTCTCTAAAATTCGTTTTCTTTCTACCTAAATTTCATCCTTGCAATCAAATGGACCCTAATTCTCTAGTTGTGGAACCCTTTTTCTCATCCCCTTTCGATCTTTATATATATATATTGAAGAGTTCCCATCCAATGCAAATTCAAAAAGACCGAAAAAGGCAAATTAAAAAACGCACAAAACTGTCTGGCCACAAGTCGGTCATGTGTTTTCAATTCGCGATCCACCCGTGAACAACTTCTCTTATAATACAATTTGGTACTCTAACTTTTCAAAGCTTTCATTTTTGTCCCTAAACTTTTCACCTGTGAATTTTTCGTCCTTAGTCGCATAAATTCCTTCAATTGCATCCCAAACTTCTTCCAATTAATTAATTGCAACCCCAAATGATCTTCAAATGCTCGAAGTAATCTTCAATTAAGTTCAAAATTACCACTTTTTGCATCTATTGCACTTAACCTCGATCTTTTCTTACAAATCACATAATTTCACTTAATTAGGTAGCAATATGTTAAAATTAATCATAATTTATCAAGATTAAAGCATAAATAAGTATGTAAAATACACTTATCAAAGACACCAATCTTAAACTCTTGTTCGTCCTCTACAAGATTATCTATCCAACACACATGCAAACAACAATTAACAAGTTAAGGGCCCGTTTGGTAGGGATTTTGAGAATTGATTTTTTGACCGTTAGAAGAAAAGTGAAATCACATAATTTCACTTAATTAGGTAGCAATATGTTAAAATTAATCATAATTTATCAAGATTAAAGCATAAATAAGTATGTAAAATACACTTATCAAAGACACCAATCTTAAACTCTTGTTCGTCCTCTACAAGATTATCTATCCAACACACATGCAAACAACAATTAACAAGTTAAGGGCCCGTTTGGTAGGGATTTTGAGAATTGATTTTTTGACCGTTAGAAGAAAAGTGGAGTCCACATATGAGAGAAGAAGTCAAAAATTACGGCTTGAATTATAAAATAACGGTCAAAAAATCAATTTTTTGGGGCAAAAAATCCCTGCCAAACGGGGCCTAAATAGCTTGTCTCAGGATTTGGAACTACTCAAGCAATTCACAAAAAGCTTTTAAAGTTTGCTACCAAAACACGGTCTAATTTGTCCAATGCTCGATCAATGTGTGTGCGCATAATCAATTCAATCACATACTTTTTTAGTTGGACTCATCACATCCCTCAATGGTCAATGATTGATCTTCTTCTTCATCTTTTTTTAAATTTTTTTGTTGTAAGGTATACATTCTCAAATTTAGCGTTTGTTTGATGATGATTAAAATCAGATTTTTAATATGTTTTGATAAAAATTGATGAAATATATTGTTAAAAACTTACTGATACTATGAAATGTGTGATTAAAATTACTTGTTATCTTTAATTTAAGTTAAAATTAAAATTTTAATTTTTACCAAACAGGGACTTATCCCTTTTAACTCTTTTCTCAAATATTTGAGTCGGCAATAATTTGAAGTTGGAGGAACAAGGTCTTTGCCAATCATTTCAGCACCTGACTAATGAACCGACAGACATGTTGTGGATCAAACAAGAGGGCCCCCAGCTGATTATTCACCCAACAAGATTTTTCTCACCCCACTTTCCAATAACAATTGGCCAACCATATGCTCCTTCAACAACTCCGCAATAACAATTTGACCTTTTTGCTATTCATTTTCGGTCATGCTACTGTCTCCATTTCACTTTACTTTTTCCTTGTCTAACAATTAATCTCCCCCATAATTCTTACTGTATATATATAATAAATATTTTGTCTTTCGGTCTCCCTCATCCTTATTCGTATGGTTTTTACATATGGAGATTTCCTCTGATGATTTTTCTTGTTTGGAGTTAACCATAGCCATGCCAGGCTTCTCTTCTTCTCCATCACCTCAATCCTATGGTAATCAACAAGCTCTTTATAATGATATTAATTCATTTTTCTCAATTTATAGTTTTAGGGTTCTTAAGAATGATCAATCATTTGGGGAAAACCGTTTGTCTTTATCCAATAACTCATTACTTCATCCTATAAATAGTATTTACGGTGTAATAGTTCATTTTTTACTTTCAACATGAATTTTAAATAAATTATAAATTGTATACACCATAAAATACCAATATGCACTCCACTGAATGAAGAAGAAAGTGGTTTTCGTGCCTTGAAATGTTTGTCAGGAGAACGCATGGAAGAAGAATATGAGACCCAAAACCCGAGAAAGAAACTTCGACTGACGAAGGATCAATCTCGTGTTCTTGAAGAAAGCTTCAGACAAAACCACACCTTGAACCCAGTACGTCAGAGTTTACATCGATTCTACAGTCTCAAATTTTGGATTTCGTAAATCAACATCCACTGATAATTTTTTGGTTACGCAGAAACAGAAGGAGGGTTTGGCTGAACAATTGAAGCTTAAGCCACGCCAAGTGGAGGTCTGGTTTCAGAACCGTAGAGCAAGGTGCATGCGTATTTCAATTTTTATTTACTTATTTCTAAGTGGCACAATTTGTTAATATTAAAGTAGAGTAAATATGTCAAAACGTAAGAGGGGGGGCTTGGCTGCTCTTTTAATGTGTATAGAACTGTTAAGTATATTTTGAACTCGAAAATTTTATTGCCCTTTCATTACGGTTTTTGTGTGAAATCATATAATGATTACGTTAAAAAAAAAAAAATTGCTGCCAAAAGAGTGTATCCACTGAATCAGAGTTCATCCTACATTTTTAGTAGAAGAAAATATTATTTACCTGAAAATCATATGATAGTTAGTGACAATCTTAATTATTTTGATGAGAAAAGATCAAGAAATTTAGTGGGTTCAATTTGTATACGTTCTATTCAACTAGCAGCGAATTAATTAACGTGTACGACTAGCCCACCTAAGTTTGCACAATTTTTATTTATTTTTTATTAATAAAATATGCGATGAATATGTCCATATAAAAATTCTTCATGACCAGCACATGGATACTAGTATTCTATTTCTTTTCGCGAGCAAAAGTTAATTACAAGATACGTTTAGAACTAATCTAGGTTTTGAAGGTCTGCATATCCTTGGTAATTCTGTAGTGGAAATTTATTGCGAGAGGCTGTTCCTGTTTTTTCCTTAATTATTATTTATTTTTTCTAATAACGTGTTAATGAAGTGTTATTCATTCTCTTAGGACCAAGAAATATTAGAATAATGATGTTTGCATATCATTATATAACTGCCTCGAATATAATTAGAAACACACAGAATCACAATGATGATGTTTTTTTAACACTAAACAGAAATAAAGGGTAAAGTTCAACAACTTTTTCATATTTCACCAATAATACCTCGAGAATTGCATGTAATTGAACATTTATAATTATAAAGAACATAAAAAAAGGCGTTTTCTATTACGATCATAAGATAAGGGAAAAGTTTGATTCCATCAAAGGGTAATTTATGCAGAGCATCACATCATTCTTCGACCTTACATTAGTTGGTTTGAGTTAAGAGGTCTTGTATTCAGTTTTCTTAAGGAGGCTAGAATGATTTGGGATAACATGAATATGAGGTGAATCTATCTCATAAGGAAGTCTATATATGTCGTAAAATTCAAATGAATTGTTTAGCCTAGCTAGGTGTGGGTGATATAGGCCTGATTATACCTCCCTAATCACTTAATAGGCTTTTTGGTAAAAATGGTTGTAAGCCATACATATAGAGGATTGAAAAAAAATGAAGCTCTATAAATTAACAAATATAGTATTATGTGTGACTTAATCAAATGATTATGTTATACGGATTTGACTCTATGACATAACCTAAGGTTTATTTATTTCCGAATAATTGATATACATGGAACGGGTCACTATTAATCAGGAGTTACTCAAATACAAAATCCATAGATTAGTTAATTGCACTAGTTTAAGGGCTTTTTCACATGGATAAAGTCATAAAATTAACGCTTGCGTTTGACATTTTTGATGTGTAATTTAATTGCTAGACTTATTCATAAAGTAAATAAACATTTTCTTTCTTTTACATTAAGCCCCCCTGTTTAACTTTGTTAAAAATATATGTTTTTAGTAGATTTTTATAGAAGTTAATGATTGTATTATTGAAAAATTGATAAAATTTGTGAATTCCATTAAATTAAATATGTGGTGTTGAGAGATAAATCTCACATCAAATAAAGACGAAATCATAAACCAAGTATAAAGAATTGTGTTACTCCTTTTAACAAGGTTAACATTTTAAGATGGAGCTCTAACTTTAATATGGTATCAGACCCCCATTAACCTCAAATGATCAATTTGTTCCCATCAAGGCTTGAAAAAAAAATGTGCATACAAATTTTAACATTGGTATGCTTAAATGACCCACCATCTTACAATGGCATGTTAACAGATAAAATTTCACATTGAATAAAGATGAAAATATAGACATACTTATAAGGGTTGGACTACTCTTTTTAACAAGTTTGATATTTCAAGATTATATATTTTTTAGCTAAATCAATTTGGCAGGAGACTAAAGAAGGAAGTGGAAGAGCTGAGGGGCATGAACGTAAGGCCCCCCAACATCTCTCAACAGCAGCCGGCAGCCACCCTCACAATGTGCCCTCGATGTGAACGTGTCGCCACCACTTTTCTCGACAAGGGCCCCGCCACCACAACTTCAACTACTCCCACAAAAATTATTCAACCCTCTGCTGCTTGTTAGTCGGCATCTCTAAACGTGGCAAATTATAAAGATCCCTAGAACTGAATTTTTAGCTAAAGAATGTTCATACTAGTAATATAATATAGTTGTTTTTCGTATTCCGGAAGACGCACTTTTGGGATATTTATTTTGCAATATATGAATTCGAGAATTTAGAAGAAAAAACCATGGCAGTTCAGTTGGCTACATAAATTTGAGATGAATTTCTCGTGTCCCAGTAGTTTTATGTCAACATAAAATATGTATGTTCTATCCCTTTTTTGGAGAGGTAACGTGAGTCAAGAGCTTGTAGAAACTAGGGAGAGAACTAGAAATTTAAAGAAGAGTAAGAACATGGCTTTGTGAGAAAAATAGATAGCATGCTAATTCCATTATTCCACACAATGCCCATTTGTTTACACTAAACGAAATTAACGAATTGTAGCATGTATGGTTCACTGACAAGAAAAAAAATAGAGGAAATTGCACTACATGTCAATTTTTGGCTTTACATCTACGTAAATGTCATTTTTTAAAGTTTTTGCAAGATTGTCAATTTGAACTTATTGCATCTCTAGATAATTTAATACCTTACATGTCCTTCATTAAATGAGATTTGACTATAAAGAAAATTGTACAAAAAAACTGAAAAAAAATGTCACATCAAAATAAGTGAACTGTGAAACTGGAAAAAAAAAAAAAAATCAACAACAACAAGAGGTCAAATGGAAAAAGGAAAAAATAAATAAATAAATTAACAAAACAAAAAATACTACTAAATGTATCATTCAAACACTCACCCTAATCTCACTCTCCTCTCTCAACTTCGAATCTACAGCTCCCCAAATTGGAATCGTCCACAGCCCGCAGTGACCACCATTAATAAGTCCACTGCCAAAAAAGACAACCGTTTTTTCCATACAGTTTGCTCTTTCCTTTCGTTTCGCTTTTTCTTTCCTTTTCTGTATTTTATTCATTAAATCCATCACAAATAAAAGAGGATAATATTGCAAGTTGATATTCGTGTTCCGAACTAAGAGAAAATATTTGTTGTTTCTTTTGACAGTGAAGAGATAATGGACTTCTAGTGGTTGAGGATCATCCTAAGTGCTCCTAGTGGACATAGATATCTGATTAAACCATTATAAATTGTTAGTCCAACATTCTTCCTCTTCATCTTTGGTTAGATAAGCTGTAACATTGATACTCCCTGTAATTGTTTATTTCTCTCATTGTGATTTGGATTTTAGTGTATGATGAAATAAGAGATGATTTAATTTTCTATTGTTGAAACATAATCCCGCTTATAGTTTTTTTTTGCCCAATCCATGCTAACTTTGGATAGAAAATTCTTCCTATGGCAATTCGTTGAAAATCAAATTCTAACATGTGCACTAATATGGCTATTTCCTTGAATCAATTCAGGAAATGAGTGCACTTGGAGAATATTAATACACTAGTAAGGGAAGATTTACATTAATTTACATTTTGTGATATTCGTGTTTTGGCTTTTATCATTGGTGCTTCTATAACTGGCAAATCTGGAAGCAAGATTATCTTGTGCAGTAAGAAATATGCCATTGTTTTATAACAATTTTTTCTAGGTCAAAATATGAACTCCATCTGAAGAATAAAAGAAAGGAAACTTCCCCGAAAAGAGGATAAGGTCGATCTTTCCATATTACCATGATTGACTTGTGAAAAGAAAATATTTTACATGCATGTTATCATTTACATAGTTTGATATGTCTTATAACAAAAGAAGTGGATAAATTGCTATAATTGAGTTCGAAAAAATCGGTAAGAGTAATTATACCACTTAGCTTTCCTTGAGTGGGAAAAGTAGGACGTCAGCCTTATATGTCAACAAGAGGGGTTGAAGTCTACAATAGGAAAGAAAACGGGCTATATATATAATTTTATCCATCGCTAAGTTGACTTTGTAATGCGCGCCCAGTCGGAACTCGTAAGAAATAATTAGAAAACTGGTGTAAATTGATAATAAACTCGGAATACATCCAGGTACTGTTGCAATAGAATCTTTCATTATGATGTTTACAAAAGATTAGCTTAAAATTATTGGAACAAGGGTCTAACTTATTTGATCTCTTAAAAAAAAAATGTTTGAACAGAGTTGCTGCAAACCTATTAACTACTCCAATAAAAAAAGTGGTGAATCGAAGGTCAAAGGTTGTGACCCGTTCAAATCGACTGGGTTCTACTAGAAGCCGTGACCCGGTTCATGAGTCTTGAACTCAAGACATCAAGTTTAGCACTAGGCTACCTTTGTTGGTTGTTCAATTGTTTATCAGAACTATATATGTAGTTAGTTATGTGGCTTAATTGAGATTATAGTTTTTGAAAGGTGATTTAAAGATTTATATCATGTAAAAAACAATTAACTAAGTTATATCACGTGTTTTAGAATTTTAAATAAAATTTTTGAAAAGTCATATATATGTTTAGATTGAATATGGGAGGTAAATATTATATAGTTTGAAAATAGAACTACGATGTGATACAATGCCTAATATAAAAGATATTAGATGGTTTATTATATTTTAGTTATTAAATAGAACTTCAAATAACCCATTTTAACTTTTTAACTTATGTTAGGAAATTATTCTACCTACTTTCAATCAGTTAGTTTGATTTGTTAAACTCAGATTTTAAGTTCATTTTACACTTTAAACTTGAAAACAAAAATATATAACATTGCTTGAAATCGAAACAATATTGTGCTTATTACTAGTCAAATTGGAAATAATCTTACTTTCACTTGCAAGTCCATATGTTGTGGTGGTACTCGTATATTTCACATTGTCTCTTATGCATTTGAATGTAAATCTTGATAAATACTTGACATACTTACGGTTTTAATACTTCTATCTGCTTGAATATGGAGTAAGAAATAATCTTGCTTTCACTTGCAAGTCCATATACGTAACGCCTCGGAAAATCAGAATTCGAAGCGTCATAAAATAAAATTAATCTTTCTTTGGTTTGACCACTTTGATGTTAACCAAAATAAATTGTAAATGAGACAAATTTTGGAGTTTGAAATATATAAAAATAGTGTAAGTATTTGTCCATATAGACCTAAACACTTATGGTAAGATTTGATTTTTGGAAAACACTTGGAGAAAAATCAGCAAGTCAAGTACCAGTTGCGTAGCAGCGAAAAGAAAAAAAATGTTTGATCTAGTAAACGAAGGCTAAAAATTATGAAAGTTTACCAGAGACTAAAATATTCATATTTGTACAACATATAAAAATTTGGGATCCCGACGATAATGTTTGAAGCATGAAAATATTGTTCGGCTATGCTGGACATAAAATTCGGATCCGACCCAAAGCAATTTACTAAAACAGGCATAACTTTTTTTCTAGGTAATTTTTTGGGTAATTCCAAAGGCCACTATTAGAAGACTCATAAACCTTTCAAACTCCACTGATTTCACTCTAAAATATATACTGTAGTCCAAGTTATGCTACTTTGAGTGGAAGGGCAGAATCTGGAATTTCATTACAGCAATACTTAAACTTCATGTATAGTCAAATACAACATTTTAAAATTATTGTCGACGAACAATGCATATAAAACTAGATGAAATTGATATCTAAAGATTTTAAGTGCCATCTAAGTATTCAAAACACATTTACACAAATTGAAAATTTTACTAGAAAGTTGACAGCTTTTTAAATCACCGAGCACTTGCCACTATGCCAAACCTGCTTCAAATCAACCTGTAAAACTTTAATAGGGATGAGTGCCATGAATAATACTCAATAGGAAGGCACTGAAATAAGTGGTAAAAATATATATATTTTTAGAAATGCAAACTTTGATCATTTGTGTCACCGTCAATCTTTTTCTCTTGTTTGATACACCAAATGGTGCTTCCTTTATGAGTAACACAACAACACAAATACAAATTTTGGTCATTAGTGTCACCTTCAATCATTTACTTCATGAGTAACACAACACGTTTAATGTAAAACGAAAATAAATCATTCTTATATCACTTACAAAAGTGTCGTAAACACCCCTACTTAATGCTTGGGGTTTGAATATCCTTTCGTGTCCAAAGAAATAGAATGCAGCGTATTTTAGCGTCCTCTTCAAAGAATTTTCAGATTTAAAGGTTCTTTAATCTATGGAAAAGGGCAAAATAAATTGGGAGAGAAAACGTGGTTAAGGGACTTTAAATTTGAGTTTTCAAAACAAACTTGTGACTTTTAAAAATGAGAAGGACGGTTATTATTTTAAAATTTCAAATTAAGTGGTGATTAGCAATGTATTTAGAATGGAAGTGGTAATTGATAATGTAAGT